TTAAATATTGAGTTTCCCAGGAATTTTTTAAGCATTAACCGTTGTTTATATTGCTCACCATATATTTCAATCTTTAGACAATTTTAATTATTTATTTATTAATTCATTTATTCATCTTATTTTATCTTTTCATCTCTATCATTTAGTTAACATCATAAAATTCAGGGAATTTCATTTAAATGTTTTGCTTGGTTTATTTTATATTTATTACATACTATCAAGTTCTGTGGAATATGTCAAAGAATCAGAAAATTTAAGAAAGCTTTCAAGGAATTGTTAGTGAGACTAGAACCATATGGATGAATTTTTTTAATTTATTATTATTATTATTTGCAATAATTCTTATATCTATTTAAAAAAAAAATTGCTTTGTCGATTGAATATTCAATTTACGCACTTTACGATAGCACTTTCTGTGCTATCGTAATGAATTATTTTTTATTTCACATGAATTACATAGCAAAATAACGGAAACATACCAAATTTGCTGACAAATAAATATTGGGACGCGAATGTTTATTGACGAAGAAATTAATGTTACCCATGCATTGATGCTAAAATGTAGTGTGTTTAGATAAATGAGATGTCAGTTCGGGTTGTATTTTTCAAATTTGTATAATAGTTGATAAGAAAATGACGCGTGGTGTGTGTTATCATATCTCAGTACTTCAGAGGTAAATCGACGCAAAAAATTTCAAATGACTTGAGTATTGCAAAATCAACAGCCAGGGATATTATAAAAAAATATGGAGAGACAGCTAGTGTTAGCGTTCGTGGTAAAAGTTCAGGCCGACCCCGTAAAATCACTGAAAGAGATCGTCGTATTCTGGTTAAGATTTGTAAAACTAGCAGACGAAGCGTCTTACGACAAATTCAAGCGCAATGGAATCACGAGGCAAACTTAAATATCTAGAGGGAATGTTGTAGACAATGGATGCATAAGTCTGGTTTGACTTTTTATAAGGTAAGTTTACAATTTTTCGTTTTTCAATATAAAAATTATGAATATTCTATGATCTACTTTTGTTAAAGGCAAAGGAAAAACTATGATGACTAACGTCTATTCAGAAGAAAAAACGTTTGGATTGCGCAAAATCTAAAATATTCTGGACAACGGAAATGTGGAGTAACGTTATCTTCAGCGACAAATCAAAATTTGATGTGTGTGTAGGCGATTTTTGAAAAAGGGTGATTCGTACAAAATCAGAAGCCTTTCACAAAGATTGTCTAAAGCGCACGGTAAAATTTCCGCAGGATGTTATGATATGGGGGGTGTATGAGTGGTAAAGGGGTTGGCAACTAAGAATTCATTGATGGTACTGTAAATGCAGAAAAATAGCAACAAATTTTATCAAAGAAGTTTGATTCCATCAATAGAGCGAACTTTTGGAGACAAGACAGTGCATTCTGCCATACTGCGAAAACAACAAAAAAGTGGTTTGGGGACCATAATATGAAAGTTTTATCGTGGCCATCAAGTAGCCCCGACTTGAATATTATTGAAACTTTATGGCATCGGATGAAAAAGACTTTGCGTAACCATCCTCAGCGTACAGCTCCAGCATTAAAGGCAAAAATCACCGATCTTTGGAACACTTTCACCCCCGAATATTGTAAGACTTTGGTAGATTCCATGCCAAAACGCATAAAAGCTCTTATTGCCGCGAAAGGTGTAAGTAAAAGATTTAAATGCGTCCGAATATTTATTTGTCAGCAAATTCGGTATGTTTTTGATATTTTGTTATGTAATTTATGTGAAATAAAAAAATAATTCATTACGATAGCACTTTTTGGTATAAAAATAAGTGCGTGATTTCATTTTTCAATCGAAAAGGCAAAAAAAAACAATTTAAAATAAGTATAAATATGTTTTCTTATTATTTCGTACATCGTCCGAACAATTAGTTGTTAGGGCTCGTATTACATTTTGGGAATTTTAGCAAAAATGGAAATAGGCTATAGGGCTATGTCGCATAGTAGCATATTATGCAACAAGGGTGGTAAACGGCATTTGAGTCTCGTGTTTATTTGGCACGACCGCAGACCGCAGCGTAGCAAGGTTTAATAAATGAGTGACTCAAAAAGTTTACCAAATATGTTGCATACTATGCTTTTTCAACCTCAGTTAATATTTGGGTAAATTTTTGTAAAACAACACAATGCATTCACTGATATGGCCGTCAGAATTGACAAACGTCAACATACAAGCCGTGGGTAATATTGCGGAAAACTGAGTGCTCCCAAACTCGTGCAGTAACCTCACGGAAATGACATGAAAGTCATAATTGGCAAACGTCAAAATTCCAGCCGTGCCATAATATCTCCGAAATCATCCGATTGCTTCCAAATCCGTGGGGTAATATCGCCGAAATGTCCAAAGTGGCCGACTCCGAGTTACGTTGTTCGTTCCAAACTTCGCTGTTTCGTCAGTTTATGTTATTACTCTATCAAACTGAATAGTGATGAAACTACAAGACAGATAATTATATTCTACCCGAAATACAATTATTTCAACTTTATATATTGAACACCTAAAATATTAACCTACATTATTTAAGATAAAATATGGTACAATATGGTAAACAACGCTAATATTACAGACTCAACCACACATAGTCATGAAACATGAAAAAACAGATAAAGTACGAGCAAAATGGTGTAGTTAAATAGCGGGCTAGATTCATAATACCACGTTACACTAAGATCTTTACCTGTCACTATGGAAATCAGTCATCCGAGACGTTGTTTATGTAGTTCATTTAGCCCCGCCCCCCCCCAAACACTATATAAGCAGGTACAGAGTAAAATACGATTCAGTTTCAGTCAAGTTCTGAAAAAGCGAACAGGATGATTAGCGAAACGTTAACAAGTTCGATTCAACAAAAACCGACGCAGGAGGAATCCAAAAGTTTTGTAAAAAGTATTACAGTAGCCTGCGGAAGTTTAAAAAAAAGTATCCATTTCATCTAATAAGAAAAAACAAATGAATGGTTTTTACGCTCCTTTAAATTGGGTTTGGAATATTTGGATATATTCGTTCTAACTTTATTACGGGTTGGTGCGATCTGGTTAATTTTAGTTAATTTATAACCTAATTCGTCTCTTGGTTGTTTTTTAAGGTATACCTGATCATTGTGACTTTCATTTTCATTGGTTCATGTAGAATGAAACCTTTCAATTTAGCTATTTGAATTTCAATTTTTGGCAGTAGTAAAGTGTGTTTTTATTTTGTGGAGGTTGCAAAAGTCTAAAAGTTTTAATTATTGAATTCGACTCCATTATCACATACAATAATAGGTGGAAGCCCATAATGAGAAATGAATACTAGCAAAGCATCCAAAATATTTATAGAGTTTACGCCTGCGATTAAATAAGCTTGGGCGAATTTAGAGAATATATCTATAATTGTCAAAAAATTTTCTTTTGTAATTGATAATGTATAAGTGTATTCTTTCGAATAACTTTGAATCTATAGGGATTGACTGGAATTCCAATTTATTAGCCTGCCTTTCATATTTTGATCTTTGAGAAATTACACAATTATTAATATAGTTACGTCTAAGTTTCTTTTGTTTTTAAATACCTATAATACCTATAAAATAAAAAAGATAAGTGATAACTCTAAGGTTTATAAAAAAATGTTTATTTCCAAAAATTGTTTCTCGAATGCACATTGGACTGGAGATCGTCAGCTGATTTAGTAATTACTTGATTTTTATGAAAACTAAGCGGCTTGTTTCAGTATGGGAAATTTTCTATATTGATATCGGCGTCACCTATTTCATTTATTAATGAGTCACTTTCCATTGTTGTCGGTGCGTATTGGGGTTTCTGGACAATACACCGGCTACAGAGTTTTCTTTTCCTTTTTTGATTTGTTGATTTAGTACTATATTCTGCTCAAGTCAGTTTCCATCTCATCTTTCCAGTTGTGTAACCATTTAAGAGGATTTTACTTAAATGTCGTCCAAACAGGTATGGTCGAAAGTAAATTTTCCAGATTATTAGCAGTAATTATCTTTCTATAAATGCTAAATTTTCTTCAGCTGGATTTAAATTTCTACTTGCATAACATACAGGCTCCAATTCCATACTTGCTGGCATCTGTTATGGTTTTTTTTTTAAATCTGGATGTACCAATCCGTTGCACGATGTTCAATGTGCTCTATTTTTTTAACCTGTTTTAAACAAAGTTTTTTAACTTTTGCAAAATTGCCTATACGATTCCTATAGTAACCAATCACTCCTAAAAAACTGCTTATTTGTTTGTGTGTTTTTGGAAATGGGAAATTAACAATACTGTTGAGTTCAAAATTATGTAAATTGCTTTTTAATTTTGTTTATCTTAAACATGCCGGACATTTCAGTCAATGTGACATCAGGGCGTTCCACGCCAAACCGACAAGGTCTACATTTTTGCTAGACCAGTAACAATTTTGTAGCGTTACGGGGTAGACGTTCACGGCATGGGTCGCGACGTCGTCGCAAAGTGAGATACAGTCCATTTATAGAAAACGAAAATTCAATAAATATTAAGTGATTGAGAAAACGCTTGTATTATTGAAAAAACATAGTGGTCCATCGAACGGGATTGTGATCCATTGAATGGAGAGTTTTCACTTGCGAGAATTATTGGGTGTTCCGCAAAAGTGAAAAACGAGGAAATTGCGAAATACAGATTGTTGGATCATCTGTATTCGCAAAGAAAATTGTGTAAAAATTGTGAGGGAAACGTTTACGTGTCCGTAAACGAACGTCGGCAAGCAACAAAGCGCAGCTGAGTCAAGGCGGCGCGGCGCGGTGCACAAAGGATTGTTTGAAGGTCGTCGTTGCGGTGCCGTGGAGTTTATCGGCGAGTGCGGCGCGGCGTTGGAAATTGTACGTGCGGGGCCGTACGATTGGGCAGCGTTGCTGCGACGCGACGGAGGACGAGACAGTACGTGCCGGAAAAAAGTCGCCGTTAAACTGTAAGTCGATCCTTTTCAAACCTTTGTTGGATTTTGTAGTTTGTGGTCTCTATTTTATGTGTCAAAAATCAGCAAAATGGCTGAGCAATTAAACTAATTAATTAGAAAGCGAGCTTATCTCAATTTAAAAGGTATTTAACAAATTTCAATGTGCAAAGTGAAAGATCTTCAGAAAAAGAAGTGTGAAGATTTAGACAGCCAATTTAATGAGAGGGAAGTTTTCCAAACAGAATTCTACCATATTGTCGCAAAGGCAAAAAATATTTTGGGTGATTTTAATGATACGAACAACAAAAATGGGTGTTTGCAAAAAATTACGCATTCGGATTCCAACTCTGTCATTTTTCAGGAAAATTTACGGCCAAATTCGAATGAAACGATGGGTGTACGATTACCTTTAATAAATTTACCAACGTTTGCTGGAAACTACTCAAAGTGGTTGGAATTTAGAGACACGTTTGATAGTTTAATTCACAAGAATAAGTCGATTGGCGACATTCAAAAGTTTCACTATTTGCGTGCATCACTTGAGACCTTGGAAAACAATTCCCGGACAAAATTGAAGGAAAATTTTATCGGGCAAAAACAAAGGGTTTTTGTAGCTGGGGTTGAAAAAAGCAAGTGTGTTATTTGTAAAAGCGGTCATGACATCAGTGAGTGTAAGAAATTTTTGGAGTTAACAACCAGCCAGAGAATTGCGCAAATAAAACGAAATAAATTATGTATGTGTTGTTTTTCGAACAAGCATTTTAGTTTTAATTGTCAAGGGAAAAAATGTTCGCCGTGTGGTTTAGGGCATGATGTTCTATTACATTTTTATAACCAACGCCAAACTGAACAGGTCAGTGTTGAAAGTGCCCCAATTGCTGACGTACAAAAGGCTGTAGAAGCGTCTTCAAAGGAAGGAAGTAAAACCTCTGTGGTGCTATCGAGTAGAAATTGTGGGACTCAAGGTCAGGTGTTACTTTCTACAACGATTGTCAAATTAAAAGATGTGAGTGGAAATTTGCATCATCGCAAGGTTTTGTTAGATTCAGCTTCAATGAGCAATTTTATCACTGAAAAAATGTGTGACAAACTTCAGTTAAAAACAAAAGATGCGAATGTGTGTGTGGTTGGGATTGGTCAAAACACTGAAAAGATTTCGAAACGGTGTAAAGTAGAAATCAGTTCTCAGAAAGGTGATTTCCTAATTCCTATCAGTTGTTTAATCATTCTGAAAATTAGTGATGAGATTCCTTTGTGTGAAATTGAGTTAGGACCAATAAACATTCCAGGAAATATTTGTCTAGCAAACAGTGAATTTCATTTGCCTGATGAAGTGGATATGTTAATTGGTGCAGGTGTGTTCTGGAAACTTATAACTCATAACAAACCTTTCTTACAAAACACTTGGTTAGGATGGGTAGTAGCGGGGTACATCAGTGGACAAGGATCTCGAGTCAAACCTAAGAAAACGGTGTGCAACCTAAGTATTGGTACAGAGGTACAAGACCAAATGGCCAAGTTTTGGGAACTAGAAGAGCCAGGTGGAGGTCAAATCGAGGGAATGACACGGGATGAAGTTGATTGTGAAAATTTCTTTGTGTCAACAAAAAGACGTGATCAGGATGGTCGATTTGTTGTTGCAATCCCATTGAAAATGTATGACGGCTCTGCACAATCAGACTCGGGTGTGTCACGTAACGATTTGCAATTTTTGGGGCCAAGAATTCAAGAGGATATTATTTCAATTTTGTTGAGGTTTAGACAACATGAAGTGGCATTCTGCGCAAATATCGCCAAAATGTACCGACAAGTATGGGTTAGGGAAGATCAACGCCATCTACAAAGGATACTGTGGAGAGAAAATCCAGCAGAAGAAGTCAAGGTCTACAATTTAAACACGGTGACGTTTGGATTAACCTCAAGTCCATTTTTAGCGGTAAGGTGTTTGCAGGAACTGACTAAAAATTGCGAACAAACACAGATTTCAAAGGTAATTGGCAAGGACTTCTACGTTGATAATTTGATATCAGGGGCCTCCTCGATTCAAGAGGCACTTCAGATATGTAAGGGTGTTTGTGAGGTTTTAAAATCTGGTGGGTTTGAGCTCAGAAAGTTCAGTTCGAACAAGGAGGAGTTCTTGGAACAATTTGGAGTAAGGCCCAAGGCAGAATTATAAACTCTTAATCTAGGAGAGCATCAACACAAAACTTTGGGATTGTATTGGGACTATCAGGCAGATATCTTTACCTACAGGGTGACGGAATTTTCAAGTAATTCAAGTACCACAAAACGGAAGATTCTGTCAGAAATTGCCCAGCTGTTCGATCCACTTGGGTTAGTTAGCCCATGTGTCGTCATTCCCAAGATTATTTTACAATGATTGTGGATTCTCAAGTTGGATTGGGACGATGAAGTACCGAACAATATTGCCCAAGAGTGGGAACAATTTAAGCAAGAAATGGTGAAATTAAACATGCAAGACATGTAGGTAGCAACAATTCAGAGAACATCGAACTTCATGGATTTTGTGATGCTGCACAAGAAGCGTTTGGAGCATGTATCTATGTCAGAAATGTCAAGAAGGATGGAAGTGTAGTCGTTCGCTTATTGTGTGCAAAAAGTAAAGTTGCCCGGATAAAGGCACTAACTATACCGAAATTGGAATTGTCGGGTGCATTATTACTTTCAAGGTTGATAAAAGAAGTACAAACTTCCATGACGTTAAATTTCAGGAAACTGTTTTTGTGGAGCGATTCTACAGTAACATTAAGTTGGATAAAATCACCAGCAAATCAAATCCAAGCTTTTGTCGCAAATAGAGTATCGCAAATTCAGTCTATGACGGATCAAGACAATTGGCATTATGTGCGGTCAGAAGAAAACCCCGCAGACTTAGTATCCCGGGAACTTTTTCCTTCCAAATTGTGTGGAAATAAATTATGGTTTGAAGGTCCACAATGGTTGCCACAAGATTTCTTTCCAAATCAGGCTGTAGATGTCCCTTTAGAGGAACTTCCAGAAAGGAGGAAGCGAGTAAAAGCCTTTTTGAATTCAGAGAAGAGTATTTTAGAGATTTTTTCCAGATATTCCAGTTGGACAAAATTGAAACGTGTATTTGCATATTGCTTAAGGTTTACAGCACGTTGCAGAAAATTGGATAGTCCCGAATCAAAGAATTTGACAGAGAAAGGAATGTTAATAAAGTTATCACAAGATGAATGTTTCGTAAATGAGAAGAAAATCTTGGAGACCGGTGAGAAGATAAAAAAGGGTTGCTTGTCAAATTTAAATCCGTTTCTAGATGCCGACGGATTAATCAGAGTAGCCGGAAGACTAGCGCTTTCAGAATTTAAATTTGACAAAAAATTCCCAATTGTGTTAGACCCAAAACATCCATGTCCAAAATTGATTGTTAAGGCAGAGCATTTGAGACTACTGCATGCAGGCCCTCAATTAGTTCTCAGTTCATTAAGGGAAAATTATTGGCCACTAAAGGGCAGAAATGTTGTGAGAAGGGTGGTGCATGAATGTGTTGTGTGTTCGAAGGTTCAACCTAGGTCCTTTGAAATACAGCTGGGAGATCTACCTAAGTCACGAGTGATCCCACAATTTCCATTCAATACCACAGGGGTTGATTATTCAGGGCCGTTCAATTTTAAAATAGCTCTGGGACGGGGCACGCGTTTGTACAAGGGGTATGTTGGTTTATTTATTTGTTTTTGCACACGTGCAATACATTTAGAGGCTGTAACAAGTCTGTCTACGCAACCATTTGTTGCAACTTTCAGGAGATTCGTGTCTAGGAGGGGCAAACCAGAAAAAATGTTGTCAGACAAAATTTTTGCGTAATAATCATGTCATTTTAAAGACATTGATTGCGACAGAAGGTGTTAATTGGTCTTTTATTCAGGCATATTCGCCTCATTTCGGGGGTTTATGGGAGTCAGGGGTAAAAAGTGTTAAATACCATTTAAAAAGAGCTGTGGGCAAGGCAAATTTGACATATGAGGACTTTTCCACTTGTTGTGTCAAATAGAGGCCATTTTAAAATCACGTCCTCTCACTCCAATGTCATCTGATCCTTCTGACTTGGACGTTTTAACCCCATCCCATTTCCTGATCGGAAGAAGGGCAACCTCATTACCGGACCCACGATTGCTCGAGCAACCTGAAAATAGGCTTGCTAGCTATCAACATATTCAACAATACCATCAAGATTTTTGGTCTTGTTGGTCACAGGAATACATCGCTGAACTTCAGAGGTGCGTCAGATGGAAGGCTGGCGGGGACACTCTGCTGGAAGGGACATTGGTGATCGTGAAAGAAGAAAATGTGCTTCCCTTGTGTTGGAAAATGGGACGCATCGTTCAGTTATACCCAGGAAAGGACAACATTAGTCGAGTGGCTGATGTAAAAACGAGTGAAGGTGTCATCAAACGTTCATTCGCAAAATTGTGTCCATTGTTTCACGAAAGTGGGTGAAAAAAAAAACTCAGTTCAAGTGGTTTCAAAGGTTGTCTAAGACAAATTGATTTTCAAAAAATGTTTGTTTTGTTGTTTTTTTAGAAAGAGGGTTCTTTCAAGGCTGGGGGTATGTTGACTTCAAAATTATGTAAATTGCTTTTTAATTTTGTTTATCTTAAACATGCCGGACATTTCAACAACAGGGCGTTGCACGCCAAACCGGCAAGGTCTACGTTTTTGCTAGACCAGTAACAATTTTGAAGCGTTACAGGGGAGACGTTCACGGCATTGATCGCGACGTCGCCGCAAAGTGAGATATAGTCCATTTATAGAAAACGAAAATTCAATAAATATTAAATGATTGAGGAAACGCTTGTATTATTGAAAAAACTCTGTTCAGGTAATGTGTCCCAGAAATTCAATTTCTTTGTTCATAAATTCGCAATTGTCTAATCGCACTTTTAGACTGTGTGTCAAATACTTTAAATTACGAATATGGAGAAGATAATCACGTAGTCCATATATACGACACAAATTTTATTAATTAGTCCTTTTAAAACTTCATTGATCATCTTCTGGAATATCGCTGGAGCATTTCGCAAGCCAAATGGATTCCTTCATAATTCATAATGCCCCTAGTCTGTAGAAAACGCTGTTTTCTAAATACTGGTGGAGTTGGTGGAATTCGTTTGCAGGATCTAATATTGTAAAATATTGTGATCTGTTGATTGCCTTTGTTACAACCGCGCACATATATTATTATTAGATTAAGTTTAGTTGCAATTTAATTTTGATATATTAAATTTATATTTTTTTGCTCGAATAATAGTATTTAAGTATTATTGCCTATGCGCGGTACTCATAGACTGGGATAAGTCCCCTTTGGTCTCGCGAGTCGCGCGCTTATCAAAATGACTTAGTAGTTGTCGTTCTCTTGACTACTCTATCTCGCTCTGAAGCTACAAGTGTGCGCGTTAACTGCTACCGCGTTTTTGCTGGATTGTGCCGATCGTTACCACGTTCAGGGGTAAGTGAATTCTGCGTACACGTTTCTCTTAATTTTTCTCGAACTAAATTTTTGTTCAAAACAGTCTTATTATTCAACTTCCTTATATCTACTATATATAACCACAATTCTCCACTTCCTAGGTCCACTTGCATCACTCTTTTGAGTACAATCCTTATTGGGCTTGACCATGGACTCTTATAATTCCGTCTTCAAGAATTTTTCATATCCGACTTCTTCTTTGAGTACTTCTGGAAATCTGCAAGATTTAGCATATACGGGTTCTTCTTCACTTGTGCGTGTTACGCGTTCAGTATGTGTTGACTTTAGTTTTGGCTAGTTAGTTGGGCTGTTGAAATATCGTATAATATTTGTTATAAAGTTTAGTTAAGCTTGTTTTCTCTTCTTCATCCAAGTTATTTATTCTTAATAAACTTACAATTTCCCGCTGTTCAATATGTGGTTCAGTATTAAGTACTTCTGCTTCGCATATTTCATAATCATCTATTGGGAATACTTCTAATGAATATTTTAGGTTAACGTATGTATCTTCGATACTGACATTATGTATTTCAACAATGGCTTGTCCGCCCTTTACAAATGACTCCGCTGTGAAACAATGGTCATTAATCTTGACATGCGGTTTATAGTAAGTTCTGTCAGTATTTTTATTAGTAGGTATTTTATTCCTTAATACTTCGTGTTCATTTAATGTAATGTTTTAACAGTTATAGTCCATAGGTGAACAATGTTGTACAGAAACAATAACATTATTTCATATTTAGGGCATTTAGCCCACAAGATGTTTTTAGAATATCGGATTTAGTTAGGGAAATATTTTTTGCTAAACATACTGTCAAAGAATTATGACTGCCAGAATCAATGAGCGATTTCTGTTATAGAGGTTGGTATATAAAATATTTCATTTGGTTGATTGGTGCCCTTGAAATAAGATTCTGTTGTTTCATTTTGAATAATTGGGCAATTTTCGGATGTATTAGGCGTTCCAAAAATTGGGTTCGAAAATTTATTATTGGTTTCGAAATATTGTTGCTATGAGAAAAGTCCCGCTGTTTGATATAATTCTTCAACTTGAAATGTTGGTCTCGATTGTGGTTTTCAAACCGTTCCTTGGAAAATAGGGTTCTGATTGAAAACTATTCCTTTAGAAATTTTGTTGTGATTCGAAAGTATTCCTTTGGGAATTTTGTTGCGATAGGAAAGTATTCCTTTGAATAATTGACTGTCTAGATACTTTCGACGCGAGTGTTGGTTTGTCTTTAAATACTTATCAAGTTAGTTTTGGTTAGTTAATATTAAAAGTTCGTTGTTTCCCAAAGACTTGTCAATTTATAAAGAATTTCCTTTGAGGAATTTGTCTTGGAGAATTGAAATCGGTCCGCTAGGAAATGGTTGATTTCAAAAATTAGGTGATCCTTTTTTAGAGTGTATTTGCTGAACAAAATAATTTGAAGTAGATGTAGAGATTTCGTTGCATTGAAATTTCTCCTTGAGCCATGGGTGTTTTAAAGTTGTGGAGGGGATGTGTTGAAATTAATTTCATTTGGATTCGTTAAACAAAGATAGAAATTTTCTTCTTTACTTATAAATTGCTTTCCACTTTCTAAACAACTTGGATTTTTAAGTTTAACTCCTGTTTGGATATTTGGTGGAAAATATTTTAGGAATAAGGCCAAAATTAATTTTTCAATATAATTTGTGCAATTTTCTCACTCTGAGACATTGTAGAACCATTATTTATATTAAATATTAAACTTCTTGTACATTGACATGGAACGCGAAAAGTATGAAGAGATTCTTTAAGATTTGGTTTCATACTATGTAGTTTATGTAAAAGACATGTAAATGACCGTTGATCTGTGAAACTTAGCTCCACATTTTGACTAACTCTTTTCCAATTAGTTAACTGAATTCTACTTGATCCTAATATTTAAGACTTTGCCACGAAGCTTTCCAATAATAGCTCTAAAAATATTTTTTTTATCGGAATTCACATTTACTTCTTCGTAAGTTCACATGGATCACCATCAAAAATTGGAATAATATCTAAGGATAGACGCAACCCAATGCTTTGTTAATTTAATACAAAGGAAAATGAGAAAAATTGACTAACCTTTGATTTTGGTATTTTCTTTCGATTGTGGCGTTCCAGGGATATATGGTCCTCTAGCTAAGCTGGGGATATACAGTCCTCTGAATGATGTGTGACTTGACAAGGGAATTCGGTTCCGAGAGATTTGAGAATTACCAGTGCGTGTAAACACTATCCACTATGTTCACTTCTCATAGGCGACTATCCTACTCACTGCGTCGGTTACGTTCTTCGTTTCAAACTTCGTTGTTTGTTCTGTTTTTGTTATAACTCTATCAAACTGAAAAGTGATCAATTCGTGATTTATTCAATTACGAAAGCTGGTAACAAAAACTACAAGACGGAGAATACCATTATTTCAACGTTATATAGGGAACACCTAAGATATTAAGTTGCATTAGTTAAGATAAAATATGGTGCAAGATAATAAATAACAGTAATATTACAGACTCGTCCCCATATACTGATAGAATTTGGAAAAAATGCAGTAGTGCACCTTTATTAAGAGATAAAGTACGAGAAAATGCTATGTAGTTAAAAAGTGATACAGATAAAAAGCGATATTCATATTAGGTAGCAAAAAGTCGGAAACTATCTCTTCCTTCCACACCTAGTTTCATAATCCTAGTGGCGGTGGCGTGTTATAGTTCCGTAACATCGGTGGGAAACGGAACTGGCGCGGTAAAATGATACTTTCCGCACGTAGGATCAGTGTATAATTGGGTATTTTACAGAAGGGGGTGGAAAAAAAATTCCTACACAGGATATTTTATTTGCAAGGGGAAGAATATGGTTAAAGTAAATAATGACCACTCAGAAATGTAACAATTTTGGTCAAAGTTGAATTATTTCGTGGCTATCAGTTTTTCCATCTTCATCCTATGTAATAGACCATTGACGTTAGGGCAAACCCAAAAAAAAGTAAAAATAAATTCAACCAGCTTCGTTGTGCAATGTTAAAAAATATGGTGCAGAGCATATTCCGACAAGATCTGATAGTGTGGCTCGAAACATATCCAATCAACTTGTGTGCCCTGACCTTAATGGTTAATTTCTTTATTACTCAGGTGTCAAAACGCATTTATGGAATTATTAATTGATTTAAATAGGACTTAATTCGACATAACCAGAATACATTATTTACAGAGTAAGAGACATTCTCATAGACATTCATCTGCTAGTAGTAGAAGCAGTTACTACGACATCAGAACACCATCTTCATTAGACCTTTCTTCGGTAAACAGGTCAAATTTAGCTGCAGTATTAAGAATACAATCGGCGAGGTATTAAAAAGTAGTTAATTCAAAACAACTGTCATCTTTGAGAATAGTCTCAAAAATATAGTAGACTAAAAATTAAATTTTAGAAACCGTTTAGAAATGGAAATGACGAAAAAGTTGGAAGAGGCAAAGCTAAAAGAGGAGGCCCGATGGAGAGAAAAAATAATGAGGAAGAAACCGGTTTTTCAAGCACTAGCTTATAATCATGAGGAAGATTTGGCCCTGAGATTGCAGCTAAGAAGAGACGAAGACCGATTTAGGAATGAGGAACATAAAACTAGAATGCAATTGATGCTCGGAAGAGTTAATCAACAACCCACGCTGTTTGAAAGACAATCTGAAGTATGCTTGGTTCTCGAAGTAACATTGGTTCTGTTTCATAATGCTATGAATTTTATTTTTAGTTAAAACTTCCCAAAACTAAAATTGTGCTCCGCAGGAATTTTGACACGTCTGATAGAAAGCATCTTAATCGAAGTTTTAGTGATCTTTCTGACATCAAACGCCTAACTGAAACGAAAGACGAGGCAATTCAAACAATTTTTAACAGACTGGAGGAAACTAACAGAGAAAGTAAGGAATCGGAAACACCAAGCAGAAGCAAAAAAAATTCCGTCAGTGACGAAGTCAACATATGACCAGTTGATGAAGCCTGCATATATGTAGGATACATTAAAGAACGGAGAAAATAGATAATAGTTCTTTTGTCATCATGTACAGTTTACTTGTTATTTAAATTAAAAACATATTTACAAAAAGGAATCCTACAGCCTTGGAGATTTTTTAGAAGAACTTAGTTCAGTTAGAAGTTCAACAAATGAACGGATGGTCTCAGATTAATTTATGCAGAATTTATCATATATCCCAATTATATTATTGAACCCTATCAATTGCGTCCCAAGATTTTCTCATTCCTATTTTACTAATTATTAAAAATTGTATATAAGATTCTACTTGCTCTGCGATTTAATATTTTTGATATTAATTGGATGCTGACCCAAGGTAGAAATTTAAAATTAAAAAATGGGCCCTTGTAATTGGGAGATAAGTGGAGGATTAATAATAATACAATATGCTATCTAATATTTAATTGACCAATTCAATTGGAGCTAACAATCTCCAGAATCCATTTCAGAAAACTGTCCACCCTTGTATAGATAGAAGGTAGATCTGCTGTACCGCAACTTAACGATGGTGCAAATGATACGATTCCTATCTGAAAATATTTTAGTTCCAACGCTGAATCAGTAGTGATAGCAAACATGGGTCCTCCACTGTCGCCTTTGCATGCATCTTGGTTTTCACCTGCAACAACATTGTAGGGCAGATTAGATTAGATCGATATAGCGGAAGAACTGATATGTTGGTATTGAAACCAGGAATACAAAGTTTTTCGTTAAATTTCCGTTGGTATTCCGAATTTTTATAAACTCAAAAAATTAGAGAAATTTTATTCCTAGCTAACAAACCCTGTGTCGACTTTTGCCGTAGTTCGTTAAGTTATTCAGGATCCTGTTTTGGTTGTGTAAAATGAAAACTCCCATACGAATACAAACGGTACGCCCACTTTCTTACCATTTGCACATAGTTGACTTTCTAAGAATTTGCCACTATACTTTGGAATAATTTCGTGGCATTTCGTTTGGTTCCACAGAAAAATACCCGCTATTTGAAGCGTCATTGAACCACCTAATTTCCCTAAAAAACGGTGATCTTAAGTAATTTTCTGGCACACCAGGGCACCGAAAATTGGCAAAGTTAAAAAGAGACAGTTGAGTTTTGCCCTTAAATCAAACAGTAAAAAATGACCGGTGATCAATTCCAATCCGGAGATATTTTACCTGATTAAATAATGTCCCGTTCTATCTAGCACACTGAATGAACAATGAATTTTTCTTCTTTTTTTGTATGTTATGTATTTTTGCTGTAATTCGAAATTTAATATCATAATTACGAACTTTCATTTAAAAAAATATTCTCACTTCTTTTGCACAAAGTCGCAAGAATATTGGAAAAAACATATTTTTAAGACAAGTGCAAATCGACAATTGTTATCCGCCTTTTTATTCTTGCATCGAAAAAATGATCTTCCGATTTCTTATTTAATGTTGTAGACATTTAGGCATACCACTTTAATAAGCAAAAGCACGCATTGCATAATATATACAATCCCGTTTCGAATCAACCATAATAAACAAAAGAGCTTCAAGAGTAAGGAAGAATAGGGAAATCGGCAATGTTTTGGCGCGCCAATGGAGACCAACTGATTTTATCGTTGCTAATATTGTACGAAAAGGGGTTCACTTACTCGAACTTATCTTACCCCAGCCCGATACGAAAAATTGTTGTCCAGGTTCATACAATCGTTTTAAGTCACTTTGCAGCGGGAGGCAAATCGGGTGAATGTATTCTAAATCAATATTACAGTTGAATAAGCTTATTAAAATAAAACCAATAAGACGTACCAGTAAATTCGACTGAGTACTGCATTTTGACTAAGCCGATATCATTTATTAACGTGTTTGAATCATACTCAGGGTGAGTAAAATAAGCAGCTATTGGTACGTCTATGTGGCGATCAGCACATATTTTGGTTTTTGCTATTATTATACAGTCTATATCGGTATTTAAATTGTGTTCTCCCAATCTAACAATCAATCTAAAAAGTTATTATTTATGGGTTGTTAGCGTTCTTTAAAAGAAGACCTAAGAAGTCATTAGCGTTCCAGCCTGTATATACGGGGTGTTTCCTAACATCGTTTGTTAAATAATACTGTTTATTAAAAAATTTTAAAAGTAGCCTGTACCTTCTAACCCACTGAACACGAAAAAAGACAGCCGAATACTTATTTCGATTTTATCTCTTACCATTTAGACTATATCCCGTAATATCAACGAAAAAAGCCCATATTTGATGATATTACTGCGGATCTCCCCTATTAATAAAGCTAGCGTGTTGTAGCTTTTCTGACCCAATAAATATAATAATATAGGGTGATATTACAAATTTTGCATTTATAAACACCAACATTCAAAATCACCCTGCATCGGAAAACAGGAATAAAATTAAATGTATCCAATTTTATTGACAATTGGCAGCTTAATTTCAAGTGGTATTCTGCCAGGCTTCTTCGCACTCATTGGACAAAAAAATTTAAGCCACTGAACTTTCTTTAATTTTAGATTTCTTTTTCAAATCTAACAATCAAAAATCCAATATTATTTCTCTTGAACTAATTTTAACATAAAAAATATAATAAATTCTGGTTGTTTTAGTCAAAATGCATTTGCGTTGATTAGCGCTTGGAATAAAACTGTTGATCCTAACCTCAGTTTTCACAGATAAAGAACAAATTCAGAATTCGCAATCTTTTGTTTATGCTTGGCAACTGGTCAATGCATTCTCAGGTGTTCTTTGCGTTTATTATATATATCAGATTTGGATTGGTTAATAGGATAATACCTAATATACTTATCGCAACCTATTTATTTAACTTTGGATTTATTTATTTAGTTTTGATTAAAATAGACCTCCCTAAAATGTTAAATGTACATGATACACTGAAATCAATCTGGATGGGTCACTTAACGAGAGGTTTCTTCAAAGATATCTCAAAAATTTGTTATCCATATTTTACATAACTTAAACTGTACAAAACTTACGGCTTATGGTAGTTTTGGGAACCTAGAAAACAATGAGCTGCGGTTAATACATTCCGTTTCGTAATAAGGGTACCACCACAAAGAAATTCTGTTATATTTATGTCCTTTTCTAAAAACGGCGAATTATAATTATAGAAATATTGCAGATTTCAGAATCTTTGGTAGTCTCTTTCATGTCTTATGCTATCCTTTTAAATAGACAAATTATTGTGTTTGAGTTGAGAAACATATTAAAAATATTTTACAAAATGAATTTTATAGGCCATTTACAAAACTTCTGTATTCCACCGCTTCTGATTCTTATTTTGGTGAAAGGTAAAGACCTGAGTTAGGTTGCAACCTAATAATTTTAACCGTCACTCAGGTCTTTACCGGTCACCAATATAGGAATCAGTCATCAGAGACAATGTTTATGCCCCTCATTTAGCTCCGCCCCCCAAAAAATATATAAGCAGGCGCAGAGCACCGTTTCAGTTAAGCTCTGAAGAAGCCAACAAGATGATTGGCGAAACGTTAGCAAGTTCTTTAAAATCAAAGGACTAATTTGAAATGAAGAATTCTTTGGTTATTTTCATTTAAAAGGCACATTTATAACTTGAAAACTTAATAGTAATTATACTAATAATAATAATCAAGCTCACAGCTCGGCTGATCTTAAAATCTAACCTTCTTGGATCACATTTCTCAATAACTGTGGGGATTACAAAGAATGTATCTATATCGTATTGTATTATGAGGTCAAGAGGTCATGTAAATGCTGTTCTTACAGATTGTCTGTTAATTAATTTTCGTTTTTATTTTCTCGTTACGAACAAACTTCCGCATCTATCTTTACATGTATTTAAAAGATAGCAAAATTCGTCTACTATGTTCTGAAATCCACCTCATCACCTTTTGCGGACTAACGTTTATATCCTAAAAGTGCCATCCATGGTAGTTGACCTAAATCAGCTTCGTTGCCGCCTGAAAGTTTTAATAAAAGTAATTTTTGTTTTTAAATGTACCTATACGGAGTATTTCCAGTTATATCAGAAAATTGACAATATTTTTCTTATTCAATTAAATTTTCATATTTTCAATGTTTTTCAACTACTAGAATTGTAGAGAACCAGAATCCAAACAAAATGAGCGAAAAAACATTTTTTTTTAAATATTGAACCAAACATTGCGTTAAAAAAGTCAAACTGCAATTGCGAAATATTAATTATCTTCGCGTACAATTCTAAACCATCAACGAGTTAGAAGCTAACCAAATTATATTATTAGCGATGGCAACTTTGCACGAAAAAGTTTTATAAAAGTTCTGACTTTCAAATGAAATACTTCCGAGTTCACTTGTTTTGTTTACAGGGTGTACCTATTTTGAACTACTACTACACACATTGAAATACTAAATATACCACCCTAAATTTGTGTTTCTATTCGTAGTGTTATTTGTTTTATAAAAAAAAATTAAAATTGGAATAGTCTTAAAATAAAAATTGGGATACCCTGTAGATAACAGCGGATTACGAAAAAGCTCATTTCGAACTATAAAAGTTTTGTATAATGTTTTTTGTAAAATTGAAAATCAATGTACTAGGAAGCAAATATGAAAATGTAACAACTTGGTTACTAATTTAATTTTTATACTTTTTGGTAACAAAATATACAACCATTTAGCCTACTCCTTAATGGTTTATAAGTTTACCGTAAAATCTCACCGCTTTCATTTTGTTTGAATTGTGGCTGTATTTTTACCAAACGGAAGCAACCAAACCACCAAAACTAACCAAAATGGAATTACCTTCAACTTACCAGTGATTTTATTTCCAGTGTTCAAAAATCCGCAATCTTCTGAAAATACGTCTTCAATGTTTGTATTCATCGGAGGTTTCTTAATACATTCTTTGTGGGGATAAACAAGTAATTTAAATATTTGCTTGTGTATGTAAAAAACAGAAAAAATTACGAATATCTTACCAATATGACAAAAAACACACATGAGCAACATAAACCGCATTGCAGAATAGCACGCAGGTTTGTTCAGATAACGTTTATGAAGGGCCCTTGATCTAAGATCGGTGACCATGAACGTGTGCAACTTGTCGATGGCGAAAATAGTACAGTTATTGGCAGTACATCCAGTTTCTTCAGGTGGAGTGCAATGACTTTCCAAGACAAGTTTTAATCTTAATGACCCGAGTGATCCTTTCGGTTGAATAAAAAAATAATATATCAGAAAAAGTGCCTCATAGAAATTGAAAATGTTAAATTGACAAATTCTCAGCGGTAATGTTAATTGTCATATTAAGAGAAAGTTTGATTTGAAATGACTTGTGCATGCTCATAATGAATGTCCCTTCTCAACATTTTTTTAATGTTGACTTCAACGTATATCTCCCAGCTATATGGGAGTGAGTAATGAAATTTACGCAATGACGGTTCACTCACAATATATTATTTATTTATTATTAAGACTCAAATTTAAAAAAAAACTTCCTAAAATCTGATCCACGACAAGAGAATCGCACGTCCGTCTTTTAGTGCTGTAAGTCTGTAAGAATGTGTTAAGATAACGGCGATTAGAAACTACGATATTGACATTTTTGGAATAAAGTAAGTATAATACACCGTTAAGCAAAAAAGTTATAAAGAAATGAAAGAGCAGGGAAGGCGAATCATTTATTTGTTCCTGATATATTATGTCACAAAAAAGTTTAAAATAAAGGAACAAACTAACAGTAAATATAATGTTGTTTTTTCTAAAACAGCACAATGGTAATAACTTGTACACATTATATATTGAACTAAACAACGCTTAATATATATTTTATTAAATCACAGTACATAAAATTGAGTAGACGCCTTTATAAATACTAAGTATAGTATCTACAAATTCGAAATAATACCAGTCTTTGGGATATGTTTTTACACACATTACTACCTTAAGGTCTCATAGTATCTAGTAACCAATCCATATAATAGGGTATTAGTGTATAAACTCCTGGATAACCAGGCAGTCCGCAATATCGTGGACCAAATGAAACAATTCCCTGTGGATGAAAAAAATACGCAATAAAATGACGAACCAGAAAATTAAGAAAAAAAAAGGTTAAAAATGATTATACTTTGTATAACTAAATTTGGTTAAATACCTGCTGTATGTATTTCGATTCTCCATCGACCCAAGCAGCAATCTGCATTGGACCACCGCTATCTCCCGGGCAAGAATCTTTATTCTTTACTCCACCAGCACAAACCTGCCTTACATTTAGCTTGATATTGTAATTGGAATACACTGCGGCACATTTCGTTTTATCCGCAATAGGAAGTTCTACTTTCTGTAAAATGTCACTAGATGTCCCTAAAAATATTTTTTTTAAAACAACATCTGATTGCAGCATTATAGATACACAGATAACGTAAACGAACATTTTAGCGTATTCTCTTAACATGTACAACAATTTATTTTATTTATTTATATAAATATGAAACGGTGATGGCAATAAACCACTTAACCACTCGGTATTGTATCAGGTGCTTGAAAAAGATAAAGATTAAGCTCTCAACAGGTATAATATTAATGACATTTTTAATTAAATTTATCGCACTTGGATTTAAAGAAGACGAGTAACATTTTATGCTCTCATATTTGATATTATTTGGTGCCACAAATGTTCTATGAGATCCAAAAATACAATAACATAGACGAAGACGTTGTATCTGTGTCTAAGTAAGCATCTGTTTTCAGAGCTAACTTTTTATTTTCCTGAAGGTACTTAAATCTACAAGTGTACAATTTGTGTGATTCCATTGCCACTTGTTTTTTGTCTATTGTAAGGAAACGGAAACGCAAGAAGATTTTTCGAAACGGTTGTTAAAACGGAGCAGTGGGCAACATCTATCTGACGCGTTCCTGTCTTGTCACTTTCCTATGAATAAATTATTGGTTCTTAGGTTTATCGAGTAACAATGGGTATGATGGTTGCAATTACTTTTTAGGGAAGGGTCTGTCAACACACATACGCGACATGTTCCAATCACTCTTAATTCAAATAAAATTTCGAATTTCTATTTCTTTATAAATATCGTATGAGCATGAATCTATGTGTTACAAAACAATGTTGACATTATACAAAAAAAAAGAGAATTTGAGATTTCCAAAACTGCCGAAAACAAGTTTAATACCTGTTTAATAACTATATTTTGCAATCACAAATATCAGAAATATATTTATTTCGTCTCGCCCTATAAGGCAACTTTATTCAAAACTAAAAAATCTTGATTTACTGTGTCTTTCATTACACCGAACTACTCACCCTTAGTGAACCCGATCTAAACTGGACTTGTTCCGGTAATGTAGCAAATATTGATTTTGTGAGGCAAATATTATTTAGAGTGAGATGAGTAGTAATGGTAGATGGTTTTCTTTGTCATAAACATGACTTTCAAATAACTGTACTAAGAGGTTTATATTATTTCTCAATTTTTTACCGTCGGTTGGGATGATGGTCCTAAAGCTTTAATCTACATAGCTTAAGAAAAGACTAAATTTCAGAGAGTTAGCGTATTTAATTATTTTTTCCCTTTATCAAACAAAATACTGCTAAATATGTATCAAACTTACCGTTTCCAGTTATGCCCCATCCAGTAACCACAACGTTCTTAAAATTGGGGTTTCTTTGACTTCCTAGGGGTAAACAAATTGGCCTTACATTTTCTGGAACAATATAACAAATTAATAGCACACATCATCTTACTTTTCAGGAATAACGAAAATTTTGATTTTCTCATCATATTTCCGAAACTACCAAAGGCAACTTTTATCATTTACAACAACATATTGAAGTTTTATTTTTGTATAATGTTTAATAATGTTAATAATTGTATAATGTTTAATAATGATGTTGTTTAATGTTTTGCATACTTTATACAAATTACTGACCAAACCAGACTTCTGACCACTCTAGTGTGTCCTAGGTCAAGACAGAAAAAAAAAGGAACCATTAAGCACTAAACTAAACGTTTTAATTAGTTTTTGAACATGTCATTATTTCTCATATGGACAAATTAGTTTGGCCTGACATCCAAATGGACTCCAATTAACCAAGATTCACATAACGTTCCTTTCTCATTGAATGAGTTCCCAAAGTTAAGGGCTGCTACTGTATTTGAAATCAGATAAAAGAGATCAATAAAAAATTAAACATTGCATTGGACAAAGAGCTTGCTATTTTATTTGGAGGATATTAATTTACCCACTTTTGTATGTATTTACATTTGGCAACAACACCAGTTGGCACACAGGAATAGAGAAAGCCAGAAACGACCAGACTGACCGCCGTCTGACGTACGAATAACAATACGCCTGCCTTTCTTCCGAATACATTTGTATTTTATTTCAAAATAAATAGTTAAAAATATGCAGTCCACTTCGCATCAATTCATCTAGATCACTGGGCCAACAAAAATTCTTGAAGTTTTATTATCTAGTGGCGATATGTGTAAACAATAACTACAATTGCAATTAGTAACTGTGTTTTCGTGTAATTCGCTATCAAGAATAGTTGATTGATTTCACGACTATTCAGTATTTATTTAATTACCGCGATTTCGTTTATTTAGCAGATTTTTGGTTAGTGTATTTTGTACCGCATAAATCGCAACTGCATATGAACCTACCTACGCCGAAGTTCATTGAAGAAACTCTGAGAAGACCGATATCATTCGTAAAACTGGCAGCGTTGTAAGACGGGTGCGGAATCACTTCCTCGATATCTAAATCTTGTACAGGGGGTGCACATTTAATAGAATTGTTTGGTTGCAATTCGCAGTCTGTTGAATTACGAATACTATGTTCTCCAACTCTGATGCCAAACCTAAAATATGAAATCTATAACCTTTTAATTTCAGAATGATGTAAAAATTTACAATTTGTCCTTTAAATTTGTTATGCAATGGGCAGCTGTCAATATATAGTTTTTGTTTATTATGCTACCCCCACATCTGAATGTCGGACCAGTCCCTACAAAAACGTCTAATTAATAACAGTATGCATTATATGTATACAAGTCTATTATGGAACAAGTTTAATAAAGCATACTTTAGCGAGTTGGTTTTGGCACGAGCCGAGCGAGTATTTGTTTGTTAAGCGAAAGACTGAAGAATATCATCAACGTGTTGCATAAAACGTTTCTTAAATTTTTGTAAAACAGCAGAGCACTGAGTGACGACTGAAGTGGCCAAAAGAACTACAAAACGACAAAATACAATCCGTCGCTAAAATCTAACTAAAATCTAAAAAAACATATCCGATCGCTTCCAAACCCGTGATTGAAGGGCCGGTAAGGTCAGAAGGGGTTCGCGGCCGAATGTAACGAAGATGACATCCAAAACTAACACTTTAACGCACTTGATCGATTCATAATTATTTATTTTAGAGTAAAGAGTAGAAAAATTATCTAAAATATAATATCATATAAACATTTATGGAAGTAGGGGCTCTTTCCCTAAAATAGGCATTCACAATTAATACTGACATTTTTTCTTGGGATTTACAATTTTTTTGTCGAACTGTAAAACATTACAAAAAGAAATTGTTCTAAAACATTCTGTATTGCACAAATCTAATGTTTCGGTGATATTATCAAAATGTGTAATCCTGGATTACAAACATAAAAATTTGAGCCTGGGGTGCGTTTGCACTCTTTCCACGAGCTATTAAAAAAATTGATCGTTACTTGCAATGTTTGGAACGAAGTTTAAGTACCAAAATCTTTTTTTGTAGTCACGGTTCGAGGAATTAAAACATGAAACCCTATTTTTCCCAACGAACTATATTTGATGTGTAGGATATGCTTCTAAAGAAGACCGTTTACTGCTTAACCAAAGTTGCAAACACCGCAGCCAAATCAAGTCATATGAGGCAGGTGGGATAAGGGTGAAATAAACGCGAACCATATAATTCATATTTAATTAAGAACACAGGATAAAGGAGCGTTACGTAAAAACCCAATTAAATGTGGCGTATCTTTTACAGCATACAGGAAGCAACACGATACCACAGTCAAGGTTAACTTCGAACAGTAAAAAAACAGTGCGATAAAGAAGTCAAGAGGAAATTTATAAGCAAGCGTAGTGGCAAAATGCAACATTCTTATCGCTGCTAATTGCTTGGGCACTTTTATGTTGAAGCAAAATCTTTTATTGCAGTAGTAAAACTACAGGTTTTTATATTTTATTCACTAGTTCTTCATTGCCATACCAATAAAAAATGTAATTGTAATTGTTAACTAAGTCAAACAAACAAAGCAACAAGAGTCAATATCTTACTTGTTTGATATGATAACAGTGCCATCCACGGAAATTCGTTCAGTAGAGCATCTTCTCCGTTGATTATTTTATCAGTGGTATCCAGGTATCCGCAATCGGAAGGAAGAAGATTAATATTTCTGTGGTTAGAAACGTCAGGCGGTTCTTGTAAATTGTCACCAATATTAATTGGCCCGGAAGGACAACACACCTTAAATGAAATAGGATATTACATTATCAGTGGATAGTAAAATCATCAAAGTACTCGCGATTTTTGTTTTATTAAATTTCCTATTAAATAGAGCAACTTATCCAAGAACACTTTTCTTTTCTTTTTGGTACACTAAAAAAATTGAAATAATAAAAATGTAAAAACCTATTTTTCTTATTATTTAAAACAAGTAACCTTTAGCAAATTAGCAAACTTCCAATCACTAGTTAATTCATTCTTCCGAATAGCTATAATCAGGTTAAATATATCAATATATTGACAAAATCCATTAGGATATGCATCATAATGCAAAAAACGCAAACTAAAATTTAAATATTGATAAACTGATTACTACTGAATTCATTAGATTAGGTGACCTGTAGATTGCATTATCCAAGTTTACACTTAATGAACAGATAAACTGAAAAAATAATGTAAATCTGATTTAGTAATTAACTAACAGAAAACTTAAAAGGTTTCGAACATCTACCACAGCGTGTTTAAATTTTGGCAATTTTTCGCATTTGCTGTTTAGCTGTTAAATGGTTTGTGAATTTTAAAACAAATCTAAAATTTGATTTCCAAAACCACTGTTTCGGTTCCTAAAGTTCCCAAATAAATAAAAAATCATGCTAGAGTTTGTAAAAACTGTTTGGTTTTTGTGATTTCACATCTTTGACCTGTTCCGAAATACCATAGGAAATGAGATTATTGACTGCTTTGATGCATAAACACTAAATTATGAATTTAAAACCAACCGCGAAGAAATATACACATATGAATATGCATTTTCTCTTTGTGGGAATTGGAAAAAAAATTAGTTAACTCTCTTCGCTTATAGGATATACAGTTGTTTTCTAACTCTGTGCTCAATTCCTTTGCATTAAATGTAAATATACCGGGAGCCCATAAAGTCCGGAAACATTGGAATATCTCGAGAATTACTTTTTTTATTATAGATTCGGACTCTATGCTACAAACATGCTTGGTTTTGTTCGACGTTTTTTTTTTTGGATTCCCAGTATATATAATATATAATCGTATTTTTCAAGAAATACACAGGTGATTGTTATGAATCCGACTTTAGTGTTATGTTTGTTTTAACATATTTTTTTCTACTCATTAATAATCATTAATAAATGAGTGTCTAAAGGACTTTATAAATGTGTTGCATAAAGGAGCGAAAAGGTTCTAATTGATTCTTGACAGTAATTAATGAAGGTGATGTTTTAAAGTTACACTTTGCGCACGCCTGAATAATGGATAATTGGTTATTTTAGAGTAGGTAACAGAAGAAATATATTAAAAACGTATCATGTTATTAAAATCGGATTCAGAAAATTGACATTCATTCATTACATTTTGTGACCAATAACCACATCAAAAAATAAAAAACGTAGGTCTCCTTAGCAGCAGTGGGTTGTGGTCATGTTTGGTGATATGACACAATTTTTTATTCAATATTGCGTAATTTTGGAGATATATAAATTCGCTTGCAACGTTGTAACATGGATCGAAGAAAGAAAACAAATTTGCTTACCATATTTGTTTCACTTACAGGCAGAGTTGGTTGTTACCAAGGTCACATGAATAGCTAGAAAGTTGTTTGCTTTATTGCCTAAAGAATATTGGTAAAACAACGGCTCCCTACCGTTGATTGTATAGATGGTATATATTTTTATAAACCTCACATTGTTTATAGAGCTTTCTGATTAATAAATATTTTCATATTCCGGTTGATGTTGAGAGGATTTTTTTTAAAGTCTTGTCTCAATGAATAATTCCGAGTATTTTTTGATAACAAACTTACTTTAACACCATCTTCATTAACGCCACAAGTATACGATTGAATTCTTTGAAGTACTGCAGAGGAGATTGGTCTCTTAATGGTTTGGAGCAGTGTTACCATTGGCGCGCATTTTTTTACTGGCATACACACGCCAGAACCCCTATCAGGTGTTCGGCAACCTTCGTCATCAACTAACCATTCTGAAAAGTAAATATGCAAATGAGTCTTTTAATTGTTCTCAGGGTGACATTGGGGATTGTTTTTGTTTATATCTGCAAAGTTTATATTCATAAGGAATCATCTGTGAACGAATTTCAAGCTAAACTGACTGTGATTTAAACTCATATATTCGTATTTTGCAGAGAAATTGATAAACTAAATAGACCGTAATAAACTCACACCTTCTACTGATAAGGATTGCAATAATGCATAATGACATGTATTAGTTAAAAAATGTTTTGTCCTTTCAACGGGGATACTTCCAATACGTCATTTAAATATTTAATAGAAAATGGTACCTTCTGTTCTTCAATACAAGAAAAACAACAAATAACCACACACAAGCCAACACACTTGGTTTCAAAATTTTATAGAAAATGTAATTTTTTTAAGCTTAATCGGACAAAAATTAATGAATTGAAATTTACAATTCAACAACTCAATATTTGAAACTATTAAGCTATTTTCCACACCATCTCTGATATCTTCTAAACAGTTATTTTCACTGTTTAATTTGAAAAATTATATATACTATACTATACTAAATCCTAATCCTCTTAAACATTGAGAGGATGCAAAAAATTTCAAATATTTTTCTTTGACTGCCTATCCATATTATTATTTTGGCGACCACATTTCCAAATTTATATCTGGCACTATGTATGAATTGATTGATTTTATTCAGATCTAAAATGCATTGCAGTATACAATTAAGGTAGGCACTTTTTTTTTCTTCATTTTGGTAATTAGTTATTTGCTTTATGCGTACATAACATTTTACATAACGCATGAGTAGTGACAGATTTTATGAATACATTACTTGCCTTCCCCTTTAATCCAATTAACTACACATTTTTTGATGTTTCTTCAGGATCATCAAATCAATCCAAAATCTTTAAACTTTGACATCTCGGTAACGAAGTTCCTGTGGATACAATGCGAGTGTCTAACTTCAGTAAATAAAGCAAAGTTTTTTTTTCGCAAAATGCTTGGACACACGTTCCGCTGCAGCAGCTATTTTTTCAAATAGGAGCCCTATTTTTTCCATAACTATTTTAAAAGGGTAAATCAAGTTCCACATGAGTGCCAAGTTTCTAATTTTTTTGTTTAGTCTAGTAGATAAATGAATAACATAATTTTATATTTCAACCTGGTGGGTTTCACGTAAGTGAAACTTACACCTTTATAATATGTATAGGATATTAAATATAGGATAAACTAAATAGGGGATACAAATTTAATTGAGTTGAGTTTGATGTTTTTTTTTTATATTTTAAATGACAAGGAACAAAAAGTAAGAATATTAAAGGATTAAAAAAATAAGTAATCAATAAATAAAAAATATGGTCGACGCCATATCTCAAATTAGGGACATGCTCCATGAAATTTTCTTACATGAAAAGGAATTTGAGTTTATTGGAAGTTAGAACCTCGCAATCTTTTTAATGTAGGATTTTTGTCTTAAAAAAATTTCTTCCTTATATTATAAAACATTAATATTAAGCATAACTTGTATTCCCGCTCATTTCTCATTCGTTTCTTCGATTTGTTTATTGCGCTTTAGCATATTTTTTGTCGAACATATTGAGGGAGCAGCATATGTTCCTAACCCCACTAATCCACTTATTATATTTTCAGTTTTTAGCAAAAGGAGCAACATAATAACATTTTAAATCATAACAGTTTAGTGTCGATTTGAAAGACTTTCCCCGTGCCATTTCCAACAACCATACCATTTGGCAAATGTACTGCGCTTAATTGAAATTTTATTTTGTTTAATTGAATCTTTAAATTTTAAATCGCCACTTACGCGAACTGACCAGACCGATCCCAGATACAAAATACACAAAACATAACACGCAACTAAATTCTCTTGGCCGAGTTAAGTACTTCATGTCCGCCACAAAGAATCAACCGACACGAACTAACATCGCATCGCATCGAACCGGAATGCCTAGTGACTTTAATTAACGTGAATTTTATGCAGAGTAAAGTCACTGAGCTCAATTGAATTGTTCCGGGAAGGAATTTCCTAAAATGTACTAGAAATACCGTTAATTGTTGACTTTGTGCTATAATAGGTTCCTAAAATTTTTATCCGATAAAAAAACCCTGGATCTACAATTTTATAATACAATATAATGTAGCTACACTGCAACCGGTTTTCCTTGAATTTTTGGATCTGTATTATTGTGTTTTGAAAAAGGTCTAAAATAATATACTACAAATTTCATTTGTTGGGAGAAAACTGTTTTCTATAGTTCACGGATTTTTGCACATTGCCATAATTCGGTAACACTTTCCGCAAAATGGTTTCCATATTTGTCGATTTGTTCAGGCACAAAACCAGCTCAAAAGTTATTTTACTCATAATTTACAACTTCCATAATCAAAATTACTAGGACCGAGTATTATTTCCTCCATCGTATTTGAATTCAATGCCAGCAAAAGTTTGTGTTGGTGAAACGTCATCACAATAATGTTTGGTTTGCTATCTATTACTAATTTTTGTCCATTCGTAACTATCGTAAATATTTATGTTCTTGTCTGATTTGCTTGTTTCGATTGTTGATGGAGATATTTAGTAATGCGATTCAATGTTAAAGCTATTTGCTTTTCCAAAAAACATTACATTTTATTTTAAATTTTATAAAATCAAACTCTTGTCCACAATTTTTCTTATTTCGCGACAAAAATTGCATTTTTTCGGGAAGTAATAGGGAAAATTTACATTTTATCAAGTCATAAGCTATTATCTTCATTCGGGTTTAAAGGCCGTCGTCGGTTGGAATTATTTCCTAACGTTTCGCTAGCACGAGTGGCGAGCTTCTTCAGACGTCCGATGTTGGACGTAGACAGTCTACGTCCAACATCGGAGATGGAAGGACCTCTGAAGAAGCTCGCCACTCGTGCTAGCGAAACGTTAGGAAGTAATTCCTACCGACGACGGCCTTTAAACCCGAATCAAGATAATAGCTTATCAACGGGCCGCGAAAGCCTTAACCAATTTATCAAGTCATTTTTTACCTTTATATTTTTTAGAGAGTATTTTATTAATTGGAATAATGATCATCCATAAAAAAAAAACATCTTTCCGATAAAACTGCTTTAAATGGAAGAGTTATTTTCACTCCCTATAAGCTTGATACCAGAAAGATACTCCAGATACAATTATCCGGAGACACAACCTTGCAAACCGGTTAAGAAGTTTTCCACCTTTAATAGTTGACTTACCCATTCTGCTTTAACAACCACATTCTTGATCTCCCAAATATCTTTGAAAAACGAATGTCTGAGAATATGTCACAATTACGAAAAAATTAAAGAAAAAAATAAAAAAACTAAAAATCGTCAAAAATTACAAAACAAGCTTGCCATGTGCTAGAGACGAAATAATTGCTAAAATGGTTATCAAGTTTTAAGAGTTTTCGGACAATATTTTATTTAACAAATTATCAAAATTTTTTCATGTAGATTCACCTACTTAAATATTCGCATATCATTAACGAACACCCTGATATATTATTACATAGAAAATGCATGAATGCATTTCTGAGTATGGGCGTACTATATCAATTAATAAATGCCAAGTAGAACTGATTCTGTCTCTCTTACTTCCAAGTAACATAATTGTAATAAATTATAATAAATTGTAATAAAAACATTTAGGGCGGAACAACATCTGTTAAAATATACGTGGAAGTACGATGAACAATCTATTTTATTCTGTTTGGAATTTTATTGCCGATTAAGTTATCACAAATTATATTATACTATATTAGAAGTAGAATAAAGGTACACTATAGGTCACCCCCACTCCTCTCCCTTTTTGTGGGCCTGTCCTCCTTCCCCACGACTCTCTAGCTCCTCCCCCTTTACCCATAATCCCTTGAAACTGGCCCCCATTGGATAAGCAACCCGAAATGTGGGGTTTAATCAATCCCCCTCCTCTAGTTTGCGATGGCGGCGAAGCCAATCAGAGCCCAGATATTTTCCCACCCGTAAGAAAAGCAATGGCGTCAATGAGACTTGATCATATTGTTCGCGTGACCATCTGCACCCTCTAGCGGTTCGAATGTAAACTAGTGTCCCCTCTTGAAATAAGATTTTCTTTAATAAGGTAACCCCACCTAGTGAATATTGACCAAAGCATTTATTTTAAAAACATATAGTTCTGCGAATGTTACCCTCGCGGGTACAAACTGTACTTTTTACTATTGCGCACAAAGGACAGGAGAAATAATGACGAAAAGTGTTGGATTTCTTTTTTCGGAACTGGAAGCTGGCAGGCACCACCAATAATATCTGCAAAAACAAAAACATGGTTAAAATTTTCATTAATAAAGTAGGATATTAGAAACCATATACATTACTAATTTACTAAGCCATCTACCGTGCGTTAACTTCATACATATTTCCGCATTTTTCTGTTTTAAGGTATCGTGAAATATTTGACTATTTATCTGGGAAAAGTTCGTATGTCGAAAATATTATGTGTAAGTGGCCGTGGTAGGTTTTTTTGCTATTATGATTTTATTTTTATTATTTAATATTTACAAAATTAATTTATCTATCTTATTGATGATTTTGGTTTTCTTTGCTATTTTATTATTTGTTTTTATTATTTAATATTTTCAAAATTAATTTATCTATCTTATTAATGATTTTAAGATATCGCAGTCAACTTTACTATTTCATCAATTTCTTTTATTTATTGCTGATCTTTGAGGATAGTGTACATACTTTTTTTTTTCGTAACTTATCTGTATCTACCCTTTAATTTCCTATCAACCCATGAAACAAACTCGAAAGGCATCTTAACTAAAAAGTTATATACTTTAAAGCTGCTGCGACTACTACATGAAAGTGTGTTTCTATGGCAATCTCAACAACAATGAAATCTGGACGCTTATACTAAATACTGGAATACTCTTCTATGCTAACGCTCTAGGAGACGCTATTTGAACTCCGTTCAAAGAAAAACTTCTACAGCCCAAATAACCTCTCTGAACCACACTTAAGCGCATCACTCTTTCACTGTCTTGCAGCCTTCAGATTAATATTCCGTACTAACTACGTATGCCATACACGAAACGTTCTCTTTTCTAATTTTTTTCTATGCGCTACATTAACGAGCAGTATCTGAACATTTCTGTCTGTGTATTTTGTTAGTCACCTTAAAAAAAATTAAAAAAAGGTATGCGAACCTAGAGGATATTTTCCATATTTTTCACAAATGATGACAACAATTAATGCAAGTATTATTTTTAATAATAATCCATCTTTCGCTATGACATGAAAACATCGATTTTTTTAATTCTAACTTTTCTCATAGAGCTTCCCTTTAGTCTATATCTGTTCTTTAACTAAATCCCCGCCTTTTTGAAAAACCAACCTCTAAAAATAGTTATTTTTCTCTAATATAAAGTTATACGTTTTCCGCAATGTGTGTGAATATTTTTGCTAGAGCATTTAGTTACTCAGTACATGTCCTAATCAATATTTTGAAAATATAATTCTAATGATACGTGTTTACGATTTGAAGATATCGAAACTTTTCCCAGTTTTATAAATGAGAGCTCACTGCCAAACTACCAAACATCACAGTACAAACTACCGTACTACGCCCCCCCTTGTACAAAATCAGATTAGTCAGCGTCATTAATTCTACCTGCGTTAACGAATAGCGTATTATTAAGTAAGGTTTAACACGCAGAAAATTTAAGTAACAAATAATTTAAATGAAACTCACTAACATCATAAATTCTTTAAAAAAATTAGAACAGTTGGAACTTACTGGAGTAACCAATTTGGCACAAAAATGGAAATTTTCGAGACTCTACTAGGTGCCTACAATAAATTTTACTATTATTTTTAATGCAGTGACACAACGATTTTCCAGTTCTGAATTTGATCCAGGTATATGACCATAGTTTACTCCCACTCTAAAAGCCATGCAGTCTAAGCAATCAGAGTTATTGAACGCCCATTTTGTGTATTATGTTCAAAACAGACACCCTCTGGGCTTACGACTACAGCTACCAGCTACTACTTTCACTACTATTAACAAAAAAAAATAGGTGGCATTTCTATAATACGTGCAAAGTTTATGTGAAACTGAGTGGAAGACAGAGTAATGCAACAATATAAGAGCTTACCTCCAAGTTTTCTCATTTAGTCAGTCAAAGCATCAAATGGGAAATTCCAATCCAACTTATGTAGTGGTGGAAATAAATCAATCGCCTACGTTACCGATGGTACCCGACTGAAGCTTCTCCGTCTTCTTTACGCCACATGCCGACTTAAAAAGATACTGGTCTACGTCTCAATATTCCTGTTAAAAAAAGAGTGGTTCTATATTGCCATAAATATGTGTTTCTTCAATAATACAAGCGTTTCCTCAATCACTTAATATTTATTGAATTTTTCTTTTCTATAAATGGACTGTATCTCACTTTGCGGCGACGTCGCGACCCATGCCGTGAACGTCTACCCCGTAACGCTACAAAATTGTTACTAGCCTAGCAGAAACGTAGACCTTGCCGGTTTAGCGTACAACGCCCTAATGTCACATTGACTGAAATGTCCGGCATGTTTAAGATACACAAAATTAAAAAGAAATTCACATAATTTTGAACTCAACATACCCCCAGCCTTGAAAGAACCTTCTTTCAAAAAAAAAACAACAAAACAAACATTTCTTGAAAATCAAGTTGTCTTAGACAACCTTTGAAACCACTTGAACTGAGTTTTTTTCTCACCCACTTTCGTGAAACAATGGACACAATTTTGCGAATGAACGTTTGATGACACCTTCACTCGTTTTTACATCAGCCACCCGACTAATGTTGTCCTTTCCTGGGTATAACTGAACGATGCGTCCCATTTTCCAACACAAGGGAGGCACATTTTCTTCTTTCACGAGCACCAATGTCCCTTCCTGCAGA